ATAAGATCTGTAGGATCAGATCTATATTTATTCAAGATCTATTACAGCTATATGTGTAAATTTTTGGTAATATTTTCTCAAGACCAAGGTGTGGATTTTTTAGAATAATTATGCAATGATTATCAGATCTATAGGATCAGTTTTATATTTATTCAAGAACTATTACAACTAAATAAAAAACGTTTATAAAAATCTCACGTTTATGGACCTGATTGTACTTGGAAACATATCTGTAAAATGCCTTTGAGTAAATATTGAAAAAATCGACCTAGTTCGCGAAAGTTTTATAAAAAATTCAAGTTGACTTACTTTTCTAAGTTTTTTCATAAACATTTTAAAAATTAACTTTTGTATTTATACCCTACAACTCTATGTGTTGGGGGTATTATAAGTTTGATTGGGCCAAAAATTATGTAACACCTCGAAATATTGGTTTCCCACATAGGAACCTATATATGGATCTTCCTATCTCGCCGAACTGAGTCGATCTAGCTATGTATGTCCGTCCGTCCGTCTGTCCATGTTAATTTGTAATCCCTCTACACGTCGCAATTATGACCCGATCCTCACGAAATTGAAAATGGTGGTGGGGTTAAGGCCAGAGTATAACCCTATTTCTTTTGGAGATTATCGCATAATATTTAGGGGTGAAACTGAAAAATTTCCTGATTTTGCAGTTGCTCTACAGGTCACAATTATGGACCAATCGACGCGGAAGTTAGAATGGGGCTAGAGCTTGGGGCTGGGCAGAAGCCTTCCAATTTTGATGGTCATCGGATAATATTTAGTTGCCATAACATTTGTGCTAAATAAAAGTCAAATTTTCCATTAAACCGCGAATATTTTTAATCCCGGAGAAATCACAAATCGACGAACAGGTCAATTCTGACCATTACGTAGATGTCGATATTAAATATATCGGATATATAAAGCGAAATATATACAATGTATATATACAAAGGAAGGGGATATTAGCTAGAATGCTTATATCTCAAGAATGGCTGGACCGATTTTGACAAATTTTGTCAATTCAGAATGCCCTTTTGGCATAAAAGTATAAAATCTAAAAAACTACAGAAAAATATGCCAATTATGATGTTAATATAGATTTTGTAGCATTTTGTGACATATTTTTATTTTTTCATATTTTTTATCGCATGCGATTTTTTCAATTTGACTTAAAATATTGAAGTGTATATTTTGTAATATTTTTTCAACTTACAACACTGGTTGGGGATATTATACGCAGATTGCATTTATCCTCACGAAAAAGGGTAGGGTTAGGCTCAGAATGGCTAGGCCTATTGTTTTCAAAGATGTCCGCAATATATTTAGGGGTTGAAATGGACCAACAACTAAAAATGTTCCTGATTTTGCAGCCGTTATAAAGTTAACAAATTTAATCCGAAGGAAATCTCGCATGAAGTTAGAGTTTAGGCAGCGGGTAGAATGGACCACTACTTTTGTGTGTAAAAATATTAGTATTACTTACAGGCGCTATCCGACATACACAAAAGGTGAACTTCTGGCTTTTTTGCTGATTTCGTTGACGAATATAGCCAAATATCGTAGACAAGCAAATCATATAGATGAGTTTAAATTTGGTGATACAGAGGGGCCTCTTGCTTTTGGAGTTGATCGCAAAATATTTAGGGGTTCAAATAAACCAAAAACAGAAAAAAATAATAATTTCAAAAGCGAAATATTCCAAAATGGATTCGGACATAAGGGGACTTCTTACATACTGTAGTGTTGTAGGGTATAACATGGTCGGGCACGACCATAGCCTTTGCTTACTTGTTTCATTTATTTATTTTTTTTTTTAAGAAATAATTTTACAATATCCGCTCTCATAATTAGGCTTTCACATGTAATAGAGAAAAGGCAAATAAAGAGCGATTCTTCCTCTGGTATTCCATAGGAAGATGTTATTAAAAATGTACAATATTAATCGTTAAAATAACATTGAGAAACATCCATTATTTAACCTCCCATAAACTCTTATACAATATTTTCGATTTTATCTCGAAAATCCTCCTTTATAAATATTCAAGTTCCACTTCCTCATACAGGTACACTAGTGTCACATCTGAGTCATATGTTACTGTATTTTTTTTTTTGCCATTGGATTTTTCAAATTGTTGCTGCTCTTGTTTTGTGTTGTTGTTGTTATTTATGGCATTTTTTATGGCTGCCTAACTATACCACTATTACAAAATACTTTGCTATTTTGTTACAGTTTTTTTTTTATTTGTTATTTGCAACCACACTCTTGTTACAAATCTAACAATAACAACAACAGCACAAAAAAAAAACAACAGCTAAACAATTTGTGGCATGGTCTAAAACAAAAAAAGAAACTGGAAACGAGTAAAAAAAATGTTTAAACTTTAATAACTTTTTGGTCCATTCGACATGCAATTGATGAGGTGTGTTTTTGCTAATATTATGTTTTTTACCCATCCGTCTGTGTGCCTGTCTCCGTGGCCATCTATTGGCGGTGTGGTATTATGTTGTTGCTGTTTTTTATGATTCATCATTACACCACCATCATCGTCCATGGCAATGCCATGAGTCTCCATCAATTCATTGCAGATATTTAACATCTCCATTAGTTAGTCAATGGGTGATGGGTGTCTTCTATAGCCATAGATGGCCGGTTTGGTTTTTTCTCTTAGTTCCACTTAACATTTATTACCCCCAGCTCCACCCATAGATCACACCTAATGTGTGGTTGAGAAAAAAAAAAAAAAAAAAAACAATTGAAACGACAAAACATAATAATTATAGGTGGGCGGTAAGGAAAAAAGATTTGAAGAATATTTTTTAAGACCAACGAAATTTCGGCACTGATTTTCAATTCGTGGATATTTAGGAGTATATTTCAAGAAACATTTGAGTTATAGGTGTGAATATAAAGAAAAATACAGGGATCTGACTGTTCTTGAGAGTGTGGATTTCTAAAAATATTTTTTTCCAGGATTTGAAAGCATATATTTTAAGGAATAAGTTTCGAAGGATCTGAGGGTCCTTGAAGTCTTGGATTTTAAGAAATAACAATGAAGAACGTCTGAGCTATTTGAGTGGATTATGGAATTTTTTTAAGGCTACATAAGTTATGGGCTTATATTATGAAAGCATATATTTCAAATAATAAATTTCGAAGGATCTGACGGTTCTTGAAGTCTTGGATTTTAAGCAATAACAATGATTTTTAAGAACGTCTGAGCTATATAAATGGATTATGGGAATTTTTTTAAGACTACATTAGTATGGGCTTCGTGGGTAATTTTCAATTACCACGAAACTTAAAGGATTTTTTGGAAAAATTATGCAATGATTATCACATCTATGGGATCAGATCTATATTTATTCAAGATCTATTACAGCTATATGTGTAAATTTTTGGTAATATTCTCTCAAGACCAAGGTGTGGATTTTTTTAGAATAATTATGCAATGATTATCAGATCTATAGGATCAGTTTTATATTTATTCAAGAACTATTACAACTATAGGTGTAAATTTTTGAGAACATTTGTTTTAGGGCCACAATATTTACAGGCGAGGATTTTTAAGAATATTTTTTCAGGGACCATAAAAGCTATAGACGTGGATTTTTAAGAAACAATTTTCAAAGAGAATTAGTGATATAGGCGCGGATTTCTAAGATTGATTTTTCGAGTTTTATCAGAGCCATAGGTGTAGATTTTTAATTTTTCAAGCAATATCAGAGCTGTAGGCTTGAATTTTTTAATAATATTTTTCAAAGACTGCGTAAGCATGGATTTTTAAGGACATTTTTCAAAAATTGTTTAAGGGCCTACAGAGCTATAAAAGCGCATATTTAATAACAATTTTTGAGGAACCCTCAGAGCATTCAGTCTTTATAAGTTTAAAGGACCGTCAGAGCTATAGGCGTAATTTTTATTTTTTTCTTTTAATTCCATGTACCATCAGAGGTATTCGCATAGATATATTCTGAAATTTATTGTAGGACTTTTAATGCCAAATGTTTGGAGTTAAAAAAAAAAACTCAAGGACAATGAGAGCTATAAGACAGGATTTTTAAAAACAATTACATAAGGACAGAGCTATAAAAGCGCATATTTAATAATAATTTTTTGAGGACCCTCAGAGCTTTCAGCCTTTATAAGTTTAAAGGACCGTCAGAGCTATAGGCGGAATTTCTTTTTTTTTTTTAATTCCATGTACCATCGGAGCTATTCGCGTGGATATATTTGTATATTTATTGAAGGACCTTTAATGCAAAATGTTTGGAGTTAAAAAAAAAAAAAAAAAAACTCAAGAACAATGAGAGCTATAAGACAGGATTTTTAAAAACAATTACATAAGGACAGAGCTATTAAAGCGCATATTTAATAACAATTTTTGAGGAACCCTCAGAGCTTTCAGCCTTTATAAGTTTAAAGGAACGTCAGAGCTATAGGCGTAATTTTTATTTATTTATTTTTTTTAATTCCATGTACCATCCATTCGCGTGGATATATTTGTATATTTATTGAAGAACAATTAATGCGAAAATTTTTGGAGTTGAAAAAAAACTCAAGGACAATGAGAGAGGATTTTTAAAAACAATTACATAAGGACATCCAGAGCTAGAGACGTGGATTTTTTAAATATATTTTAACATCATTGGAGTTCTTAAAGGACTAATGTCCTATAACAACTCCTGTGACGTGTAGTTTTTTAAATATTTTTCAAGGTCATCAGACGGACTAAAAGTCAGAGTTTTTAAGAAAAATGAGAGGCAATCTAATGGCTTGAAATTTGGGGCATTTAAAATATTTTTTATTTCATCAAAGGCTTGATGTGTGGAGTTTTTATAATGCATTTTCAAGACCATCAGAAGCCCTACAATCTGGAGTTCTAAAAAACATTTAAAGACTATCAAAGGCCACAAAATTCATGGGGATTTTTCACTATTTTTGATTTTTTTAAAGCAATTTAAGGGCAAACTAAACCCGGTGATACGTGAAATTAATTATTTTTGTAGGGCATTAAGTGAGTTTTGAAACATTTTTCAAGACCATCAGATGCCTCAAAACCTGGAATTTAATAGGATTTTTAATTTATTGGTCATGAAGAAAACATGTAATCTGCTCTTTGTTTAAACTGAGGAGTATTTAAAATATTTTTCAAGGCCACTATAGGTCTAAGGTATTTTTCAAGGCCACTATAGGTCTAAGGTCAACTAAAGCCCTGAAAGATAGAACTTTTATTTCATATATTGACCAAGGTCATGAGATGTCGTGAAACACAGGGCCACCTTGGGCCCTGAAAATTTGAGTTTTTTTAAGTCATTAGAACACCTGGAATGTTTTTAGAGAATAAGTTCAAGGCCATCAGTAGCCCTGAAAATTGGCCCATCAAAGATTCTGAAATTTGAATTAAATTCTCAAGACCACCAAGCCCCTGACATGTTGAGCTTTGTTAATATTGTTTCAATGTCATCAGATGGCCTAAATATTAGAAAATTGTTTTTTTTTTTTTTTTAATTTTCAAAAAGGCAATCAGTTGTCCTGAAATGTGAAATTTTCAAAATATTTTGTAAGACCAGCTGATTTTCTGTAACGTTCAGGTTTTCAAATATATTTTAAGCCTATCACTGGCCCGAAACTTGGAATTTTTGGATACGTTTTTTCAAGGCCATAATCAACCCCTAAAAGCTTTCAGAGGCCATTCCTACATCTGGAACTTGGGACGTGAAAGTTGGACTTTTTAAATATTTTTTTTTTTCAAGATTATCGAATGTCCTGGAAGCTGGACAATTTTACAAATATTTTCTAAACGTGGAGTTTTTATATTAATGTCGTCGGAAGCCCTGAATATTGGAGTTTTTTTTTGACTCTGAATAGTGAAGTTATATTTTTTTTTTTTTTTTTAAAAGTCTAGAAAGTTAAAATTTTAACTTGTTTTTAAAAGGCTGTCAGATGCATTGAAACTTTAATTTTTTCAAATATTTTTATAGTCCGTTAGAGACCTTGAACGTGTAGCTTTTAAAATACTTTTATATACATCGCTCCTCTAATAGCCCTTCTTTAAAAATTCCAAATTATTTTCTCTGAAAAAAATTTTAAAAACGACTCTGCCTTGAAAGCCCTTCGGGTCACGTTATTCACGTTATGTTGCTCTGATAGTCCGTGAATAAATATACGTAAAAAATTTACTTTTAGTTGTTCTGACAGTTCTTAAAAAATATTTTTAAAAATATCCAAGTTTGGTTTCTTTGATAGCTTTTGAAAATACATTTTTTTCTAATATCCCTATTTCTCTGGTGTTCCTCGAAAAAAAAGACATATTCCAAAAAAATCGACGTTGCCCTGATAGCCCTTGAAAAATATTCCTAGAAAAATTTGCATTTCCTGATAGTCCCCAAAGACCAAAGTATTCTTAAAATCAATTTTCCAATGCGAAATTCCGAAGTTTCTGATATTCAAATGTATTTAGGTGTTTATCTGTTCCTCCTAAATAAAAAACAGCCAAATCATGGGAAAACATTCTTAAAACACCAATGTTTCTTTGATAAGCCTGAAAAAATAATTTTAAAAAAATCAACATTTCCCTGATGGTCCCCGACAAAAATATTCCTAAAAATCAAATTTCCAATGCAAAATTCCACAGTTTCTGGTATTCAAATACAAATTCAGCCTTTGTCTGCTCCTCTAAAATATAAAAGACAACCAAATCATGGGAAAAATTTTGTAAAACTCACATCAACATAATTTTCATACACCTCATTCACCACAAGCCGGCCAAAAGGGGGCGACGATATTCATGGCAGAAAAACATCAGACCAGGTTATTTTTAATATAATATTTTATTATTCATCATCAGGAACAATTTATCTCAAGTTCCCACCCGCTCATAATTAGCATCTTTTCGTTGGTTTGGCCAGGTTTGCATGTGGCGGCAGCAGCTACTCCGTGCTGGTGAAATAACAACAATAGCAACAACACAAAAATTCAAATTTAACATGAAAGGTTTTGGTATTGGCCCTCTCTACGCCTATCTCGGCCGTCTGTCGGTGGAATAACAGGAGGCGGAGGTTAAATTTTGATGGTAGGAGCCGGAGTAGCAGCCACCACAACCACTGACGACGAATGACTACCAACATAACAGCAGCAATATACCAAAAAATAATGCAAACCGAAAACGCTACAATAACAACAAGAAGAGAATTTTCAAAACTAATTTCAGATATGCATCTCAAAACCATTTTTTTCTCTGGCTTTCGTTTTTTTCCTTGCGTTGTTTAACGTGGCTGGGGCCTAAGCGAATACCGCCAAATCATCCTCCAGATTATTGTGGTTCTTTTTCCACAATGTAGTTGTTCTTATTGTTGCTGTTGTTAGTTTGTTTTTCGTTTTGTTTTGGTTCTTGTAACACGCCTTCGCTACAAGTGCACGTACTCTCCCCCTTAACAAAAAACACAAAAAAAAAAAAAATCTGAAAATATCATGCCGAAACAGAACGTCACATTTAAGGTATTGCCATCATCATCGTCTCCGCCGTCGTCGTCATCAGAAGTCCGCGTATTTTCGTCATCCTCATAATGATCCAGGTCGAGTACCAGTCAGGAGGATCGTCAGCGGCAGCAGCACCATCAGGAGCAGCCTGATGCTATATGAATATAAGCTTCTGTTAGAGGAGTATTCTTAATTCATGGAGCCGAGACAATCTGCAGCATTTGTTTGTATGGGGGAGAGTTCGTCTGAGCTGAAACAAAGTTGAATTATTTTCATATGTACGGGCATAGACTTGATTTAAAACCAAGAGAAAATGTTGGAAGGTGAATCGATGGTAAGGCATCTTGGGAGTATGGAATGAAAATTGTTGGAAATTTTTATAAAACAATATTTAAAAAAAAATCCACATTTCTTTGGTAGTCATTGAAGAATATTTTTAAAAAATCCACGTTTCTCTGGTAGTCATTGAAAATTATTTTTAAAAAATCCACGTTTCTCTGGTAGTCATTGAAAATTATTTTTAAAAAATCCACGTTTCTCTGGTAGTCATTGAAAATTATTTTTAAAAAATCCACGTTTCTCTGGTAGTCATGTAAAATTATTTTTAAAAAAATTTACGTTTCTTTGATAGTCGTTGAAAAAATATTTTTAAAAAATTTACGTTTCTTTGATAGTCGTTAAAAAAATATTTTTAAATAATTTACGTTTCTTTGATAGTTGTTAAAAAAATATTTTTAAAATATCCACGTCTCTTTGATAGTCGTTCAAAAATATTTTTAAAATATCCACGTCTCTTTGATAGTCGTTCAAAAATATTTTTAAATAAAAAATCCACGTTTCTCTGGAAGTCATTGAAAAGTATTTTTAAATACTCCACATATCTCTGGAAGTCATTGAAAAATATTTTTAAAAATTGCATATGTCTCTGATAGTCATTGAAAAAATATTTTTAAAAATTGCATATTTCTCTGATAGTGCTTAAAAAAATATTTTTAAAAAATCCACGTGTCTCTGATAGTCCTTGAAAAATATTTTTATAAAATCCACGTGTCTCTGATAGTCCTTAAAAAATATTTTTATAAAATCCACGTGTCTCTGATAGTCCTTGAAAAATATTTTTAAAAAATCCACGTGTCTCTGATAGTCTTTGAAAAATATTTTTAAAAAATCCACGTTTCTCTGGATTTTTTTTAAAAAATTCACGTTTCTCTGGATTTTTTTTTAAATTCACGTTTCTCTGGATTTTTTTTTTAATTCACGTTTTTCTGGATTTTTTTTTAAATTCACGTTTCTCTGAATTTTTTTTTTTAAATCCACATTTCTTTGATAGTCCTTGAAAAAATAGTTTTAAAAAAATCCACATTTCTTTGATAGTCCTTGAAAAAATAGTTTTAAAAAAATCCACATTTCTTTGATAGTCCTTGAAAAAATATTTTTAAAAAAATCCACGTTTCTTTGATAGTTTTAAAAAAATCCACGTTTCTTTGATAGTTTTAAAAAAATCCACGTTTCTTTGATAGTTTTAATAAAATCCACATTTCTTTGATAGTCCTTGAAAAATATTTTTAAAAAATCCACGTGTCTCTGATAGTCATTGAAAAATATTTTTAAAAAATCCACGTTTCTCTGGTAGTAATTGAAAAATATTTTTAAAAAATCCACGTTTCTCTGGTAGTCATTGAAAAATATTTTTAAAAAATCCACGTTTCTCTGGTAGTCATTTAAAAATATTTTTAAAAAATCCACGTTTCTCTGGTAGTCATTGAAAAATATTTTTTAAAAATCCACGTTTCTCTGGTAGTCATTGAAAAATATTTTTAAAAAAATCCACGTTTTTCTGATAGTTATTAAAAAATATTTTTAAAAAAATCTACTTTTCACGGGTAGTCATTGAAAAATATTTTTTAAAAAAATTTACGTTTCTCTGGTAGTCAATAAAAAATATTTTTAGAAAAATCCACGTTGCTTTGATGAGCCTTGAAAAATATTTTTTAAAAATCTACATTTTTTTGATGAGCCTTGAAAAAAATATTTTTAAAAAATTCATGTGGCTGCGATAGTCCTTGAAAAAATATTTTTAAAAAATTCATGTGGCTCTGATATTTTTTGAAAAATATAAAAAAAAATCTGAAAATATCATGCCGAAACAGAACGTCACATTTAAGGTATTGCCATCATCATCGTCTCCGCCGTCGTCGTCATCAGAAGTCCGCGTATTTTCGTCATCCTCATAATGATCCAGGTCGAGTACCAGTCAGGAGGATCGTCAGCGGCAGCAGCACCATCAGGAGCAGCCTGATGCTATATGAATATAAGCTTCTGTTAGAGGAGTATTCTTAATTCATGGAGCCGAGACAATCTGCAGCATTTGTTTGTATGGGGGAGAGTTCGTCTGAGCTGAAACAAAGTTGAATTATTTTCATATGTACGGGCATAGACTTGATTTAAAACCAAGAGAAAATGTTGGAAGGTGAATCGATGGTAAGGCATCTTGGGAGTATGGAATGAAAATTGTTGGAAATTTTTATAAAACAATATTTAAAAAAAATCCACATTTCTTTGGTAGTCATTGAAGAATA